GAATTAATTGGGGGGGGCAAGAGTTGAAAAGCTGAAAAGTTTGGGGTCATGGCGTGGACTATGTATTCCAATTGTGTAAAGAAAAAAAAAAAAAGGATGAAAAGAAGTTGCCATGTGCTGAACTGAATTATTGAACCACAGGGACGTGGCCAAATAGCATCTCATGTCAAATCTTGAAGGTGGGTGGGGAAAAGTGCCACCCTCATTTTAGACCACTTCTCACAATGCTAGCTTAAGCAATCAACTTTCACCACATCCCTTTTGAACTTGAAAGAAAACAACAGGCTTGGGGGATGAACATGGTTGTTTATAGTCAATGTAGGTATCATCTTAAGTGGTCCCTATATTTCTCTAGAAAACAAACTCATTCCCAACCTAAAGCACTTTTGTTCTTGCTGTTTTTTTTTTCTTGTTTGAATACAAGTCACAAGGTATGGCAGCCCAGTTGTTGATAGAATCAATTAACTGAAGGATCTGGGCTTGGACAACAAGGTCAATTTCTCTTAAGCCCATTTCCTGCTGCTATTGGCTATGATATGACAGAAAAAAAAAAAGAAAAAAAAAGAGATTTGTGAAAATAAAGCGATCATATCAAAGTATCATCGGACACCCAATTACTGTTCCATGCTCATAATAGTCATCACTAGTTCTCCATTCTTTAGAATTACAGAATTTTTTGTGGTGTAAATGACCGGAATGAAAATTCAATTATAAACACTAAAAATTGTAATCAGATGTAAAGAAAATCATCTTGCAAAAGAATCATATAATGTAAACTTAATTTTAATCGAACGCAAACAAAGCAATAGTATCTATAGTAAGTGTTTGGTTTTGTGTTCTCATTTTTGCATGCAATGGTGGTGAGGACAGGGAGAATGTTCCATAATGGTGAGTCTCTGAGTTGAAGCAACAAGTTGTCAGAGAATGATGGTGGGTGCCAAAGAAGACCTATTTATTTGCAACGTCCCTTTTTTTACTTTCTTATGTCGTCAATCAAGGAATATTTTTATTTTTTTACTTTTTGTCGGGAGAAACAACATACAATTTTTTTAAATAATAATGTGTAAATTTGTAAAATCTATCTACACTTTCTTTAATGAAACCTTTGTTGTCACCTGAAATAAAAACGTTGGTAGAAACAAATTTGATGAAATATTGGCAATGGTAAAATGGTCAGCATGACTTTCCAACCTGTCAACCGGTCACGAACGTTAACCCGTTCTGTAAAAAAAAAAAAAGAAAAAAAAATTTAAGGAAGCGAGTCAATCCATTAATAATATTTTTTATATACAAATTTTTATATATTTTTATTTATTAATTAATATTTTTATTAAATAAATTAAAAATATATATTATATCTATATATTAAAATAACTAATTATAATTAATAATTTAAATTTAATTAATTAATTTTTATAAATAGAAATGAAAAGGCTCGTGCTATTCCAAAATTTGTGGAAACCATAAACTACAACTACTGTAGTAAGCTAAGTGCTATTATTGAAAAATAAACAATGTTTCAATTGGATCAATTTCCAAATAAAAGGTCCTGTTAGTAGTCCATTTAAAGTTCCAAATACAAGATTGTGCCAAAAGGAAAAAAAAAAAAGCCCAATAAAAAAACTTACAATGTTTACAACCAAACAAAGAACGCCAAATCCACAAAGCATTAAAGTAACGGTTTTTTTTAATGGATTGAATTAAAGTAACTTTACCATCATCCATACATAATCTACTTATAATCCTCTCTTGGGATTATAAGATTGTTAGCTACCTTAAAGCTGCTGGAACATGTTCATTGTTAAAATAACTTAATTAATTTTGTTATTTTTGGTTTTGTTTTAACTTTACTCCATTTACTTTTGCTGCTGATTCAGAAGACGCCTTCACATTTAATGTAAATATGAGTTCATGATAAAGATGATTAATAATGATAGATGTAAGATTTGGTCAACAATGGTGACTTTCCTACCATTGTTAGGTGTTTAACAAGGAAAAAGAAAAAAGAAAAATGAAGAAGAAGAAGTGGGTGTCTTCTCAGGATAGCTTTTGGCAAACCTATTGAAACTTTCCAGTGCCAATCTGTATGCTTTAGAGTAAGCATGAATCTTAAGTTAACTTAGGAAAAAAGGGACAAATTTAGAGAGCACAAAATGTCAGAAAATTCAACTGAACCAAAAAGTTAGAAGAAATTTGGAAAAAATAAAATAGATGGTCAAATTGAAAAATTAGACCAGATATAGAAATCGAAACTAACCTAAACAAAAAATACAACTTTTTCCTATGTAAATTAAAATCTCTTTTCATAGAAAAAATAATAATGTATAAAAAATGGATAACTTATCGGTATTTGTAGTCTTAAAAAAAATTCTAAATTTTGGTCTATATCCCCGACTTAAAAATGGAAGAAGATGATTAGGTATTGGGTGTTGGTAATTAAAGTGCTCATTTCTAACCTTTTTTTATTTTTATTTTTTTTAAGAGAGAGGTGTGAAATGTGAGTATGATTTGGTGATGTTAGTTTTAGCCTTTTTGGACCACGTCACCGTCAAAGACCTAACACTCAAAATATGAAATTGGTCTTTCCAGATTTAATTTCTTAGTTGCCCATCAAAACTATTCGAGACTTTAATGTACGGAAACGGGCTTTTCTGGGAACACATACAACGCGATTAAGCAATTGTTAAAGGAAAAGTTCGATTATTTATACTTTTAAAAAAGTATTAAGTTAGTTGAAACAATTTTTTATTGAAAGAAACTTGTGTTAAGTGTTTAATTTTTTTAATTATTTTATTAATTAATTTATAAAAATAAATAAGAAGAAAATAAGAAGAGAATAAGTTGTTTTAGATTTATTAAAAGAAATTTAATGAAATAACATAAATAGTGAAGTGTTTAAAAATAAGATATTATCCTTAAAATTTTAAAACAATTTTAAAAACTACTAATGTGAGTTCTTTCTATTAAAAATATTTTTAAATCTCCTTAATTTACATGGTGATGTTTAATCACTTTTATTTAATAAAAAGTTTATTATCCAAATATTTTATTGTTCTAATACACACTTTAATCTTTATTATACATAGAATATAGCCATCATTAATTAATTAATTAATATATCACATAATTTTTTGTATTATCTATTTTCTTACAATATTATATTATGTATATTTACTAAGTTTTTTGTATTATTTATAATTTTGTTCCATGATTATGTGGAAGATGGATTACTACTATAAAGTAACGATGAAGAACGCGATAGTTGACCAGCACTAGGAACTATTAGGACGATCAAATCATTGGTGGCGGTCCATAAACATAGCATTAACTTGATTTGAAATTCTTTAACTTACAATAATAAATTAATAATATTTAAATATGTGTAATATAAGGATTATTAAGAACTATAAAAAACAGAAAATAAATTTTGGAAAAATGATATTTTCACATTTTGTTGACTGGGTAACTCATTGAAAGAAAACATCCAAAAGTCTAACTCTTTGAAAACTTGTTTATGTGTACAAGAAATACAAAAATCGAAAGCAATTTACTGGGTAAACCAGTTCACATGAAAGCAAGAATATAATATAGTGACAGTGGAAATATTTTGAGGCAAAGATTGGGTACATAATTTGACATTTGCACACTCCACTACAAAATGTAAGCCCCGAAACAAAGCCTCGTTCCCATATTTTTTTATGCCACTCATACATACCATATTTTAATCCCTCTCAGAGAGGGAAGAAAACAAAATAGTGGAAGAGGTCAATGCCTATTGTCTTCTATATTTCCATTGGAAAATTAAACTAATCTATCATCATCTTCTACACTATTTACCAAATGCCATATCCAAAGTATCATCATTATCCTAAGATCATATACATTTTTAGCTTTTGGAGTTATTTTCCACACCCATTTTTTATATCAGTTGAATAATGCATACTTACTTTAATTAAATATCATCTTTATTATCTCTGTTCTCCCAGTTGGATTTGTTTACAGATAACTCACTTTCATGTCATAATTTACATTGCAAGTCCTAATCTCACGGCTTTTAAAAAAATATTTATGATTGATTAAACAAAACGCACTAAAAAGGTTATACCTGGATTGGCCATGTATACCTCAATTATGGGATCCCATGTACATCACCATCACCATCATCATATAGAAGCAAGTTTCACATGGTTATAATAACACCAGTGAAGTGATTTTCTTCTCATCATATGGTTTTGGCCTCATCATTGACGTGTCCAACATATCACAATTCTTGCCCCCTCCATCAACGTACAATACGTAAATTAAATTCATACAACACTCGTAATTAAGCACTTTCCGTATTCCATTTGTATACTTCTTGTCCCACTTTTACTCCTTTCTTCTCTTGTCCTAATCAGATACGAAGGACCCTCAGGGAAACAGTACTAATTCCAAATGTAAAATGTTCAAATTTACAAGAAACTTGAACTCTGGCTAGCTTTATGTTACGATCATGATTTTTTTAATAAGCAACGCTTCAATAATTGAGCATTGGCTGCTGAAATTTAAAAATTGAAATTCATTAGGAACGTTAAATTTATGATAAGAGCTGAGGATGATTATTGTTGTTTAGTACGCAATAAGCACTTTGGTCTTTGTGCTTTTAGGTGCATGATTGACTTTAAGAAAAAAATGTGGAATTTAACATTAGATAATGCATGCGATACACGAAAATATTAGTGGACTGCTACTGCTACTGCTGCCAGTCTGTGTATGATGATGTTTGGAAGATTTGGGAATTATACAGGGTTCATTTCTTAGGACATCATTATGGTAATGGGTAGGGTTACCTCGGCAAAGTAACTGCAAAAAGGAAGCTTTTACAATGTACTTTGAAACAAAGAAAGTGGTTATATTCAATACTAAAAAAGTAAAAACTATAAACCCATCCCACAAAGGCATAAACAAACTCAGTCCAAGTCACAAGTCTGAGATCTTCTTAATTTTAACCACAGTCAGCATCAGTAGTACTTGACCCTTTCTTCTGTCTTCTTTTCATCAAACAAAAAGTTGTTGAAACTGTTATTGGTGCTAATTAGCTCTTTAATTTCCTCTAGACCATAATCCAATGGATTTTGTTCCCACAATCCATTTTGTTTGTCTGACCACCCACTAACACCAGCACTGGAGAACATCATCAATTTGTGAATAGTGTCTTCCACCCCAGTGTAGAGGTGATTATCAGCAACACCTATCTGCTCCACAAAACTTGCATCACCAAATTCTGCCTCCATGACTTGACTGATCTGGTTGTTGCAGCTCGCATCAGAAGAGCTGCAGCTAGTGGCTGCGGCTTCACCACCAAACACAAACATGTTATTACTACTGCTATCTCTAAATTGGCACTTCTGAGTTGGGTCCATGAAACTCTCTTGTGCTTGAAAGAAGGAATCAGCAGAAGCAGAAGAGTTGTTTCCACTCAGAAGACTTGAAGAGTAGGATAAGGAGCCCGAGCCTGTGAAAGACCTGTGGGGGTGGCAGTATGATTTGTTGCTGTCGTCTCTGAATGACAATGGTGAGCTTTGAAGGATGGGTAAAAGGGTACTTTGATGAGGCTTCCTCTGGGGTGAAGGATTCATGGCCATCATTTTCTTTTTAAGCTTGGTGTTCCAATAGTTCTTGATATCATTGTCAGTCCTCCCTGGCAACTGAGATGCTATTATGGACCACCTGCACTCACAGAAAATGTCTTCCACTATGAGAAACTTACTAACATTATAGCAGATCTACATTGGAATGCATGAACTGATACAGAACACTAAAATCGTAGTACACATCATTCTGTATTGTACTTAAATATTCAATTTCCAAAAAGTGAAAACGAAAAGCATAAAAAAGACTAAAAAATGATCCCTAATTTATCTCTTCGGTTGTTTCTTCAATTGGAAATTATTTGTACGGTTTTCATGTTTAAGGAAGCCTCTGACAAGTGAGATCAGAGTGTCAAAAGTGAAAGAAGAAACTGAGTGAAGGCACCTGCTTCCAATGCTAGCAAAGAGGCTGCAGATTATTGTATCTTCTGCATCAGAAAATTGACCATGCTTAATGTTGGGTCTAAGATAATTAAGCCACCTTAATCTACAGCTCTTGCCGCATCTTTTCAAACCTGCGATAAACAACTCAATCAGGTACACAAAGACAAAGAAGTGGCAAGATCCTTGCATATCAGAATCCTGTAGCTATCCTTAGCTTGGAAAGTGTAATATGACTCATCATATGTCTATTATGCACTTACCAACTTTTTGTGGGAGGGCAATCCAATTCCCTCCGGTGCCATGTTGCTCTATGTAGTCCTTTAGTTTTGCATCTTCTTCTGGTGACCATGGCCCTTTCTTTACATTTGCCTTGTCACAACAAGGAGCTCTACCCATCGATCTCTTTGTATGAACTCTCTTCTCTCTGCGTGGTTTCTTCAGTGGGGGTCTGAGGAAGGTATACACTAGAAGGATACTGAAGAATGGAACGTGGAGAGGGGCATGAATAGAAGTTTATTCAGATAAGAAATGGCACAAGTCAAAGGGAACAGCCTCTGTAACTTCAATTGTCATATCAGTTTCCAAACATATATCATTGATTAGCCTATGGAAGTTTCTATCACCCATTTACAAGGACCCTTTTGTAAGAAGGAGTTTAACTTGGTCACAATTTAAAGTATCCAAAGTCTGCTCTAAGTTATAACGTGTATGATTTTTTTCCTTGAAAAAGATGGTCTAGTGATACACATTTTCAAGCAATGGGCCAAGTCATGAGTAAACTATTGTCAAGTTGAAGGTTCAATTATATCTGCTTCTTGCACTGCTCATTGCTCTTTAGTCTCCATCTTTTTTAACATTTCTTTCCAAAAATTATCATTCATATCTCATTTACCACTAATAAAAATATTTCATGTACACCTAAAATACTGATATACGTATATATAGAGAAAAAATAAACATTTTTAATGTCAGTTAAAATTTATTGAAAATTATATATTTTAAAAAGGACTCGTTAAATAAGTTGGAAGTTTCACAAAAAATTATAGTTTTTAGTAAACATTAGTCAATAATAAAGAGTGTTTTGCTAGATATTTCAATAGGTAATATGATTAAGAGAGAGATAGAAAAAAAAATTATTTGATATAAGGGTGTTTGTATGATTGATTATATTTATTTATTATTTATGTTGTCTTAAAAATATAATATATTAAGACTGTACCCAAAGATTACGGGTGAAAATTGATTTTTAATAAAAATATAGTCCTATATACAAGACAAACTTGTGACCAGCCCTGCATTATAAAATACTAAGGAAACATACATAGTAACTCTTTGTCCCACGTTTATAAATAAAATATTTGTAAAAGAATGATAATTTTAAAGTATAATTATAAAAGTATTCCACCATTTCTTCAACTAGTTACTGTAATATTTTTGTTCAGATGAACAGTTGATTAAATTTATCTTTAATGTTTCATATAATCCACTTGATCCAAACAATTGTATAAATTTTCCATGTATTTTTCTTATGTCAAATGGTGTAACAAAAATTGAAAGTCAAATATATGCTTTGTTTGTAAATTATATTTTTATTTTATAAATATATGAAGGTTATATATCATTCATACACATAGAATCGAGCGTTTATTCAAGCATAAACCAAAATTAATTTATTAAAACTGTTTTGAATATTATCTTTTGAAGTGTCTTAAATTTTAAGATGCAAAATCAGCGAAGTCGTAGAGAGTTATTGCGTATTATCCGATTATTAAGACGTTAAATTTTCTGTCTTAAATGTGTATTAATCCGATTTTAAAATTTGTAATAAAAATAATTCAAAAATAGCTTATTTAAAATTTATGATTTCATTCACGGAGAAATCTCATTCTAGATAAATAGAGTTTGCATATAATAGCTTTTAAAAGGTTTTTCTCCTTTTAAAAATATAAAATAATTAAATACTAATATAATAACACAAGGAATTTTTCAAGAAAATATTAATTAATCTTAATAAGTTTATATTATTTATTAGATAGTGGTTGGCATTTTGAAAAAGCTTGTTAATAATGAGCAAAAATACTTTTATATTTACGAAATCAAACAAATTAGTAAGTTTAATTTTTCTCATTTATTTGAGTTGAAAATAAATTAAATTATATTTAACTATTCGAATATTGCAAAAAGTATTCTTTCAATAATCTCTAAGCAGTGGCATAATCGTAAAGGAGAATTTTCACTATGGACCAATACAAAGCGATAAACTTGTCAATGTTTACCATCGACATCATGTTATTAATGCCCTAGTTTGGGGTGTTGTGCAAGTCTTTTCACAACTTGAAGTTTTTAATTTGGACAAACCAAAACATTTTCGACTTTCAACCCGCATTAATTTCAGTTTGACTGGGTTGTGCTACATATAATTTAGAACATGCATAGGTAATAATTATTTTTCAAATTAATTATTTACCAGAAATTTAATATTTTGAAGGGAAAAAGTAGAAGAGTTTAGAGAGCATCAAAATGAATTGTTTAATTTAGAAATAAAAAAATTATTTTAATTCGAGTACAATTTTTATTGCAAATTGTCATTTAGTATGGACTAATTAAAGTAATTACTAGTGTTGATTTTTGCAAATGATGCTAAATTGACAACTAAACCAAATTAAAAGGATTAATACCAATATTAACGTAGGCTTAGTAAAACTAGATTAAACAAAAAGATGACATAAATATGATAATACTAAAGGGAAAAAAACAATATTACTCATAATTTAGCTTTCTCGTCATAAATTAGTTTTTTTTAATTATTTATTTTATTTCATCGCTTATTATAAATGGTTCAATTTTATTTTAAAATTTGTCAAATAGATATAATTTGGTCCCTTAATTTGATCTATTTTTTTCTTTCTTTTATATAAATTGCCTTAAGTTAGTTACTAATACAATTAGTAATGATTTTAAATATATAGTGTCTAAAATCCGTTGCTACTTATTGATGATTACAAAAACCCTTAATCATTAATCAAAAAAATAAAAATAACAATTACTAATGATGACCTTTTAATAATAGTTAATATTTTTAAAATAATAAATTAAATTTAAATATTGTATTAATAGTGAGACAGTAATTTATCCAAATAAATAAACAATAAATCCAATAAAATAATTAAGCATTAAAGTTGTCATATACTTTTAACCTTGTTCAAAGAATTTTTTTTGTATTATTATTGTGAAGTATAAGGAGCGCATACAAATAATTTATTTTATAATTTTTGTGAAATTCCTAAAAAAAAAAATCATAGGAAAACTCCTACACAAATTTAAGTAATCTTGTATATTTATTTGTTAATACACTTGTATGGAAATAAAAATAGACAGATTACTCATAAAGGCTTGTGATCTATTTATTATATATAATGAATCTAGTTATAAATATTTTACACCTAATATGCTAATCTATTCAATTATTTGTATATTTGTCTCATTTATTTATCATTAAAGACATCTATGTCTCTTGATTGAGTTTTTTATAAATATTCAAATTCTTATTAACATAAATCTTTTATAATTCGAGTAGGTTTATTTATTTAATAATAATGATCATAAATTTTTTATATTATGTTTTTTGTTAGTCTATTTAAATTCTTAAATTTATTAATTTATATGAAATTATATTTTTTTTAATTATATTAAAAGATAGTTTTTTTTCTCTATATAAAAACCTAATGAAAATAATGTTTAAATAAAGTTTTAATTTAAAACATACTTTTAGAAAATAAATAACAATTCAAAAAGTTGTAACGGGTTATTTTTTTAAGGTAATAAACAAGTATAACATAAAAAGTTGAATTTTAAATCAGCAAGCTTTATAAAACTTAACCTACTCTAACCGTATATGTGTAACTTTGTATGATATGATATGTTAGTGGCTTTCATGCGATCCACTCTGATTTGGGGTAGCTATAAGGGCTATTTTTAGAAAACTCCAAAATTTCTTATTTTTTCAAGAAACAAGAAAATGTTTTTCCTTCCTGAACCCTATTCGTCAATGCGACTGTTATTAAAAATTACAAGTTTTTAATAATGGTTGAGTGCATGACTGATCCGTGGGGAAGAAACCATGCATTGTTATGAATATTAAAAAATGAGACTTTAAATATTTATTGTTAATGGACTTTATAAGATGATATGAGCTTACACATGTTTTTGTTTTCAAGGATGAATAATTCATATTAATATCAAACTTATACTCTTTTCTGTCCATTGAAGAGGGACTAAGGTGGTTCTTGTTCATCGTATCCTTAGTTATCCCGCATGTTGTAAATCTTATGGGTATAACATGTTTTTGTCGATATCATATTCATACTAATATAACTGTATAACTTCCGTCTAAACTCCTTACATTAATGATTAAAGCATGTCTACGAAAAAAAATTCTAACAGTATAATTGATTTTGTTCTGTTAATTTAAATTTGTGGGAGCAATTCATCCCTCTTTGCATTACAACGTGATGAATCTTAAAAGGGAAGGATGGTCCATGGAAAAGACTAGATGATTAATCCTAAGTACTGTAAAGGGAGTAGTAATGTTGGTACGGATGATGTTTGGTGAATAAAATGAAAAGAAAAAATAAGTACAGAGACGTGAGACGAGTGCATTGTATGAAGTATCAAATTTTCTTATATTCAAATAATGTAGCTACCTAGTCTATGATGAAGTGAAAGGTGGCGGAACAAACTCTGGGTGTTTTTCTCCTTCTTCTTGGATTCTTCACCTCAAATAATCCGTCCAGGAACGACAAATCAAAAGTTGTCTGTCATGTTCTGTGTTCTACAAATATTCTTCTGCGTAGGGACCACAGATTCGAGGTGGGAAAAACGCCACCACCCTCTATACATTGTCCTGAAGAACAAAAAACCAATGCTTCACCTCAACTTTGTAGTGTTAATCAGGTCGATTTCTAAGCATGAAAAATAAGAGGAGATGCTGTAACATGTACAACAAATTATGAAGCCAAAGATGAAAAGAACAAATAGATGAAAAATATCCTAAATGGGTGAGCATCGTTTAAATCAATCCACATTTTCTTCATGTTCATCTCCTATATTTGAATTTTAATTATATGTTTTATATTGTTTTATCATTCAGGAGGATAAAGAATTTACAAAATCTAAGATGGAATCATCCAATAAATTTAAGGTTCTCTGTTTTGTTAATCACGGGTCTGCATATTGTTAAACTATGTAGTGTATTAAAAAATTGAGTTAACTTAGTCTATCCTCGTATATACTCAAGATGTTAAATTGAACTTAAATTATTAGTTTAGTCAAATTGACAAATTTTGTATTTTGTGTCTTGTTGACTTCTATTAATATCATTAAAAAAATTATTAAAT